CAACATCCAAGAGGCCTACTTGCCAAAAACTAGCATTTCGGGGCAAATTATCTCTGAAATATTAGCCCAGTTATGCTCCGATGAGTCCTGGAGTCATCGGAGCATATCTGGGCTAATATCTCAGAGATAATTTGCCTTGAAGTGCTAGTTTTTGGCAAGTAGGCCTCTTGGATGTTGTTCATTCAGAACATCCTGACAAATCCCATAACTTCACAAATTTATTTTTTTATGGCATCACACTTTAGAACTCTATATTGAAACCTTATTTTAAGACGTTTTCACTCATCTTTGGAGACCACTGAAAGTTGTCAGAAAATCATTAGCAAATAAAAATGAAGCATCTTTGGCTGTGTCTAGAAGGCATTAAGGAACATTTGGGGACACCCAGATTATAAGAAAACAAGAATCTGACATATTGGACGTACATGTTACAGGTCTAAATTAAATTCAGGTTATAAAAATTTTTAACCCTGGCCGTTGCTTCTCAATTTCCTTTGTCTCCTAGCCCTGAGTATTCATGTATTAGGGATGGGAGACAAAAAAAATCAACCTTGATTAAAAAATTTTAACCTGAATATAATTTCGACCTCTGATACATCTATCAATGGTGGCAGGGGGGGTGGAAAGACAGGGCATATGATTGTCTTTGTTGACCCTGGGGTAGGGCATTTGAATCTTTAATTTCTTTCCCCAACGTGCACTTTGGCCCTGTGAAAAAGGTGTGAAAAACATGTGAGAAAACATGTGAAATTGAACAGTTCACATGTTTTTTCACAGTTTAATTCACAGGTTTTTCATAGCATTTTCACATGTTTTTATCCAATAGTGCTGGGACCAATATTTTAACGTGCAGATTCTTTTATGTCCCCTTCAAGTTCATTGGCGAAGGGAGGATGAAGGAGACTAGAATTCCAGCTTGTTTTGCAAGCTATATTTCTTTGACATTGTGGCTATTCTAAATTTCTTGGGTTTGTATATAAACTTACTAACTTGCTATACAGTATCGAAATTATAACAATTATATAATACCCGTACCGTAACCAAATTGATTTAAATACAAGCAGAAGAACTTAAATCAGAAAATCTGTTGCTTTAACTCTACAATGGGTTTACATGATCTTGATATAAATGGTATGATCTTGCCCACGCAACCAGCTTACTATACGTGGCACTTGTGATCGTATCGATCAGAAGATTGATTCTTGCATTTAGTTTATAACACAACCTGCACTTTATACTCAACCATTTTAGTTTTTTTACTAATCAAAGAACGATATAACTTACCTCGTTTCTAATGTTGTCGTGCAGATCTTTTCGGTGCTTCACTAAGATGAACGTCGGACACTGACTGTACGCACGACTCACACTGTCCACTCGACGATCTAATGATAAGGATTTTTATATAACGAGGGCATCCACGAGCTTATCTCCCGCACTAGCAGCCAGGCCTTCCAAGCATCAGATTCGTGACCTGAGTGTGACTTGTCACTTCCTACATGCACGGCCTGCGCACCGGAAAAAATCGAGAAATTTAAGTTTGGTCCTTGAATATACAGTAGTTTTTCACAACTGTACATTGTAAACCGGTCTGGTATAAAGCTAGCCTGTAAACAGACGTTGTTTTTTTTTTCTTTTCGTTCTTTTCAAAAACATCGGCGAGCGAAGCGAGCGCGCGAGAACGAGCGAGGAGCTGGTGATTTTTTTCTATTTTCTTCTTCCTCCACCACTACCCCCTTGCGCTGGCGGTCAATAAATCTCCTGCGGTTTGTATTTTATCACCCGCGCTCGACTGACTTTGAAGAGAAAATAGAGCGTCTGTGAGCAGGCTAGTATAACGCGTAGACTGTGGACCACGGACTGCGGACTGAGTGTATCTAAAGCTGTTTTTATGTACGCAGTCCGTGGGTGCGATCCATTCGACCAAAATTCCAACCGGTCCGACCGGAAAAACAAGGACCACCTCAAAAGGTGGACCCTTTTTTTCGAAACTTTTCCGGTTGGACCGAACCGATCCATTGAGTTTTGGACCGAAATTTCCGGAAAGTTTGGTTGAATGGATCGCGTCCACGTATGTCCAATTCTACTCTGTTTATGCTGCTAGGTCTAGTCCCAGCTCCTCACACACAAACATTCCTTTGGCTGGTCACGCTGTCTATTCTCCCCAACGTCAGCCGGCCGGAGCCGGGTGGGGGATGGGGGGGGGCGGGTACTCGACCAATATTTGGGTATAGGTGAGCCGTTGAGGGCTTGAAACCCTGACCCTATTTAGGACAAAAAATTCCTAAAATACATACTCTGTTTAGCACGACATCCTCCATTTTAGTACCCTATTTAGAACAACTCCCTCAATTATATCAGTAGAACAGACTCGCAAAAATCATGCACACTGTTTAGGACAGACTTGCACGAAATTGTATACCCTGTTTAGGACAGTCTCTTGAGAAATTATATACACTGTTTATGACAGAGAGGACGAAAACCATCCCCTTCCAGCGGCACATCCCCGCATAGGCCAAGCGAGTACCTCCCCCCCCGCTCCCGGGGGGCTGAAATTTCACAAAAAGGAGGAGTTGAAAGATAATTCTATTTATAGTTACCAATAGCTAGAGGATGTGAAATTGAGAAGCACCGAATAAAAAAAATAATAGTATTAATTGTTTCTTAAAGATGCCACAATTTCAAAGCCTTGGGGAAATGAGGAAATGAAGAACCCAGACGAGAAGGTCAATATAGGGGCATTCCGCAATGCAGAAAGCTGTATTTAGCGAGGAGGGGGTTACTCACCTATACGTGAATACATTCTAACCGATGATGACATGATTTCCACCAATGTAAACGAGGAAAAGAAAATTCTGGAACTCAGGGTATCGTGTGCATTTCATAATTATCCGCTGAGTACAAGTGAAAAGTTGTTGTCTGGCCCAAGCCCTTGTAGGAAGGAAGTAAGACATTTTGAGTTGCATGGTCAAAATGTAAATGGTTTAGACTTAGACTAGATTGGTCAACAAAATGGGAAAGAAATAGTTTAATAAATTAGCCTAATTGTGGTGACGGAAAAGATTTGAACCCCCTGGATTAGTTTTGGTGGCAGCTATACCTCTCATTCGGATTTGGAGTGGACAAAAACAGTTCTAAAACTTACAATCAAGTTAAGTAAAATTCGTCGTCTTATTTGACTGCCCGAGTCTTTTAGCCCTGTTCAACCTGGTTCCAACGATCTGAGCATACCCGAGGTGAAGACAGTAGGAAGGGTAACCGGTTGTTTTGACTACGGGTCGTAGGGAGTAACTCGTTGGGACCACGGAAAAGGTTACTGCCGCCACGTAATAGAGGTGACCGCTTTACACTAGTCAGTTTTACAGAAATTAAGGGAAATAATTTTCTGAAAAGTGGCCGCTTAACAGAGGGTGACCGATTAATGGACGTCCCCTTAATGCCAGCATCACAGGACTGTATTTGGATACTATTCCGGAGGTCCATCTTGGATCACAGGATCCAAACTGGCTAAGGCATAGGTGTCCCGACCAAGAGTATTGAGACGAAAAATAAACGACTCAAAGTTTCACCTATTTGGCTATTAGTGTTTATTTCCAGTGCAACACATTTCCTTGAAGTATCTTAACATCTTTCACAAAACTCAAGATGTCCTGCCGAGAAGAAGGCCCATGTTCACCTTACGCTTAAAGGAATTAAATTAGTTTTGCAAGTGAGTACAGTGGAAGTTTTCGTCACTGACACTCTAATAAGTGGACAGCTCTACTTGCAGCCACCATCACAAAACCCAATTCTCTCACCTCCCATCGTTACTCTGCATTTTTACATTCCTGTAAGTGGCCAGCTACTGTTAGACACCTTTTTTGTGTCCAGAGGGTGTCCAGTCACTTAAGAACTTCCACTGTAGTCGCAGCTCACCTGAGTACTTCAAGCACTTTACATGATGCCCTAATATTGAACTAAAAACTCTCCTGATGATCGACCAGAATTAGCAGCAAATTCAGTTCCGAAATAAATATTGACCAATTGGAAACAAAACAGCTACTAGGTGAAGGTGGGCCTACAAACGGCTTTATCATAAATAAAAAGTAGTGAATTGCAAGTACTAAACAAACACAACAAAGCCACTAAAAACCTGCTAAGCTTTGTTACCTTTGCATTATTATGCAAACGAATAAGTGGTTAAATATTTATCTACAAATAAACAACTATATTCAATGTAAATTCAATGCAGGGAACACCAATAAAATTGTCATTTTGTAAGTCCTTTTAAAGACAGATGAATCTAAGCTAATTACAATACATTTATTAAAATAAGACATTTCAAATTGTTTATAAATCCAAAACCAGCAACACTGATTTGTGATTTAAAGTGCTTCTATATTTCATTTCACTAAAAGTTCTGGATTTCCTGGAGAGCTAAGTGTGTCTTTGTGTTGAAGTTATCGATGGGTAAAAAAACAACAACCACTAAGAGCAATGTTTAAGAGAGAAGTTTCTACAGTTCACATTTCACAGGATAATAAAACGGATAAGTGTTTTATGAAAAGAGAACCAAGTTGACAAGATTTAGAATAACATTTTGGAAGGTAATTAAAAATAGGAGACACCTATGTACTTGTTAAGCATGCAGCTTCAGCATGCTTTGATCTGTGAAACGTAATCTAAAAAAAAACCCCATCACATTATATTGAGTCGGCAGAATGCAGTATGTTGATTAATTCAGAGATTGTGTCAGAGCTAGTCTGCAAATCTACTGTCTGATGTTCTCTTACACATAAAGTCACTGTTTGTCACAGCAAACTTAACATGACCCATTTCCATAGCAGTCTCATGCAATACATGCAACTTACAGAGGTTGGAGGCATGGATTTGAATGTAAGGCAGGCTAGTCTCACAATTACAGACCAATCCAAAATAGTATGGCTATAAATTTTAATTTAGAATGTGCCTTTTCTGTTAAGTTCACAGAATTGCAGCTGGTGATGATGACCTTACAAAACTAATGAAGGCTACCAGTATACTTATAACAAATGAGCCAGGGCAGAAATTTATCTGGTAAAAGACCAAAACAATAGAAAAGATTCTGTCAAAAACAGCACCTCATGTATGAACAAAAGGCTTGTCTTGTCAAGTTGTAAAAATAAAGCAAAATATTCTGACCAGAATAGTGTGAATGTTAATTGTGCAATTATTTTTTATGTAGCCACCCAACAATATTTTTTGCATTTTTCCTACACAAACATTTGTCTTCTGGGCTAACATCTTTCTCACGTAGCCTTACATTGAAATTCAACAGCAACCAATCAAATCCTTACTTAATTAATAACCATCATTTTGACAATAAAATGATAGCTGAAATTCGATCCTATGTAAGATGGCAATGAATTAATTTTTCTTTTATTGCTGCCCCTGGATTTCCCATGGTCAGAAAACAATAAATTTGAAAATTTACCTAGTAGGGAAATTGATAAATCAAGAACCTGATGAACTAGTAATTGGGGATTTCTTCGGAAGTGAATTCAGCAGAAGTTGAACAAAGCGGATCACGCTTTTGAGACGTTCCAAAATGGAGGTCATACTCAAAATGATCAGTTTGGGTTTGTCCATGAGGGGTAGAGCTGCCAGCGCCCACCAAATCCACTCAGGCCCATCGTTAAGCAAATGAAGGTTCTCATCAAAAGCTGGAAAATGCCCAACAGCATTGGCAATACACTGACGCTGTCCTACGTTCATCTGACTAAACCAGGCCTGTAGTTTTAGGTAACCCACTCTGTTTAGTTCAATAAGATGTTTAAGTTCATCAACATCATCTACGCGTTCATCTTGCACCCATTCCACTGTCGCAGTGTGATAACCATCGGCCATGCCCCTTGAAATAACATGAAATCGCCGTCCTCCTATCGACTGCACAATAGAACGGCCATCGGGAAGAAAATCCACTGACTGTACACAAAGCATGGTGCCATAATCTGCAAAACCTTTCTCAGGATCTTCACTTGCTACACACATACCAAACTGTCTGGAACCTGACTCAAGGCAACGTCGCAGCATCAGTCGATACCTTGGCTCAAAAATATGTAGTGGACACTGGACTTTTGGAAATGCTAAAGTGCATACAAATATGGGCACTTCTGGATTCTGTTCATTGGCCAAACTGTTGAATATAAAAGAGAAGATTTCCTTACAATGAAACATAGTTGGTACTCTGATGTTAATGGACTACAGTCTGTCTATTACAAGCACTTGATGCTCCAATTGATAGTAGATGTCATACAATCTCTACCTACACTGATACAGATTGAGACAGACACTCTGCTCTGTCCCTTAAGCGCCTATCTTGTTCAGATTCATATCTTATGGATTTCATACAAATGTCACACACACACAAAATTTAAGACTGGTACTCACTAGCAGTGGAGTCATAATCAGAAGTGCAGATTCAGTGAAAGCAGATCCAAAGCAGAACAAAAGCAGATGCAAAAGAATTAATTGGGCATTAATCCTAACAGTACTACCTCCAACTCCAACAAACTGGTGATCATTCGATCATGAGTAACAGAATCGTCAGTGAAGCCGAAACTGGACACATATGATTCTAAAATACTATTATTTCATGAAATTTATCCTAAGTACCCTTACCACTCTGACTTCATTGCCATTTGAAACCAGCTTTTAGAGCTCTCTCCATGATCAACAAGAAAAAATTGACAGAGAAATAGTGTGGATTAAATTTGTGTTTACCCCTGATTTCGAATGAGATCATGTTTCATGCATAGGTGTCATAGCACGATCAATACAAAATGTATAGCATACCAGCTTTTGTTGCTGTCATTGTTTTAAAATAAAACAGACAATCCCCTTCCCTGTAGCCTACACCAGTTTGCAAGTTCCCACCAAAATGCTTGTCCAGAACAAGGATCTCAGTCTCGGTGATGCTTCACAGACGTTACTAACCAGGGTTAGAAAACGTCTGTGACTCAACAGGCTAGTTCCCTGGGGCCTCAAGTAAAAACTGACTTTCTCAGCATACAAAATAATCAAAGGCAAGCTCAAGGCAAGTTCTTGGTTGTGTGTAATTTATAGATATGTTAATGATAAAAACAACAGTGATGATAAATGATAGTAATAATAACAGTAACCATAATAATAATAATTCCTCGCGTAGCAAGTTTATAAATTTGTGGGAAGGCACACTCCACAGGACTCCCAAGAGGAGAGCTAACAGTAGTGTGATCTTTGGTAATTCAAATACCTTTCTATCGGTTTCATATCTGCAGTTTCGTGGCAATAACGCAACAAGTAAACAAACCCACCTCAAACCTGGCCCAGTTCTTTTTATAATGGCCATTTAAAGAGTTCAAAAAATTCTTTAAGCAATAAATTTTGACCGCAGAAGCACCTTGGACAATAAACAAAAATTGAGGTAAGAAAACATTTGTTTTGCACCCTACTTTGTATCCTACTTTGCAGACAAGTTGTTTGTTGAGATTATTTTCTTACAGTTTTTCACCATCAAAAGCCCTGTTATTTTCCTGACATATACCTTTGAATTTGTGTTGAATACGGTTCAATCAGCTTTCTACAGTACTTGCCACCAAAAGTTCCATGGAAAAGACATAAAATATTTTTAACTGTTAAAATAGATGTCTTCATGTAGCATAGAGGTAAAGGAATGACCCTGGAGACAGGATGTGCTTGGTTCAATTATGGGAAAATCTTGTTTTTGTATTTCCTTTTCTCTTATATTTGCAAGCGACAAAAGGAGCCTGCCACCTATTCTTGGTCAGCGGCATTCTTATAACTGTATAGAGAGATTTTTCTGATTTTGTCCACGTTCCTATGTTGTACCAACTAATATCCATGGTATGTGGCCTTGAAGGCCCTCGTGTTGATTTCACGGTAATCGCGTGAATGCACATGCAAGTGATGCAACAATTGATTCGCGAGCACACGTAACTCAAGTACACAAGTACTATACTAAATGAGAGACTTAAGCTTGCTGGCCTGGAATCTATTTACCCAGGAATGAAAGTAGAGCCCAGGCCTGGCCTCAGCTTAGTGCAGGACAACTTTTCGGCAAGACACGAGTGCTAGCAAAGTCTAAAAATCAATGTAAATTAAGTTTGTTCACGTTTCACTACACTGCATGGTTTTTATATTTTTGTACATTTCCAAGCATGCTACGTCACTTGTCGTCTGAAAGCTTCAATAAGCTTTAAACTCCAGGGGTAATTCAAGCTGTTTGATTATTTTGTATTGCAAATCAATGGCCTTTACTCATTGAACACAGATTGAATATTCATTCAATAATAAGACTTTGTGAATGACTGTTTACATGCATAATACTCATGTCATGCATTATTGTTTCAATGTATCTTTCCGGCAAATTCAGACGTTACTCCTCGCTCCTTACCAATCACAGGCTAATTGTATCAAAGCAACTGCGAATAAAGTCATTAAATTTAATATGAATCTTGTTTTCTGTGTTATTCAGTCCATTTTTCACGTTCTGGAATGATTCCTTTTGTTGACACTATAACTGAAGGGCATTCACCTGTATATGACAGCGGTTTCACCCCCACCTCGTAGCCAACAGCTACTGCTAGTTGTTGTTATTACTATTTTGTTGTCTGCTTTTTTTTTCACACATTTTCTTTTGGCTATTCAATTGGCCTCTTTCTCTTTCTTCCTCCTTTAGTGTCCACTAGCCTCTGCTGAGCGGTGCAAGATTCTGCGATTCATGTATTTCTAGCAATGATGTAATAAAATAGCATTCAGGAGCAGTTTTGGCCGGAAATCAAACAAAATTTATTGCTCTTCAATGACCGAGTATCGCCTAATTTGTTAACTAATGTCAGCTATTAAAAATCAATGGGAAATTCTTTTGCTCTGTTGTTTGCGTCAATGCACTATCAATTTAATGTGTTTCCTTGCTACGTTTTATTACCTTTTCCTTTTCATTACCCATTAAACTAAACAACTCCTAGGATAGAACCTCAATAACTCGAACTCGGATAACTTGAATTCCCGCTCACTCAAACTAAATTTCCTTTCCCTTGATCAAAATTTCACTGAAATTTACCCCGATAACTCGAATTTCCCGCTAACTCGAACTGTTTTTCGTCTCCCTTCAGAGTTCGAGTTACCGGAATTCTACTGTAAATTATCATTGACTCTACACAAAAATAAAAAACACGTCTATTACATAACTACATTATATAATTGCATTCTACGGTCAAATAAAGCTACCTTACCCTTGAAAAGCGTTCAACTTTTCTTGATGAGTTTTCTTTCTTTCGTTATATTCACCAGGGAAGAACTTCACTAAAATCGACTCTAAATCTTGGGTAACCTCCATCTTTCGTTTTCCTGTATGGTACTGATCCAGGATGGTTCGACAGCAAGGACATTCCTGCCGGTGGTCTAGACATCTTTCAAGGCATTCCCGGCAAAATGTGTGCCCACAAATTGTAGTTATGGGTTGGAAAAGCAAACTGAAGCAGAGTTTACATTCAAAATCTTCAGTTTCTCTCAAATGTAAAATCTCCTTCTTGATCGTATTTTCCTTGCTCGCCTGTAAGTCTTCTTCGTAGTTCGGAGAGACTCCAACAATGGCTTTTGTTTTTGTTCGTTTACTGGCACTTGCTTCGGTAGCAGGACTTTTCATAAAATTGCTAAGATCATCGACATCCATGTCAACAGCAGCACTGCGTTGAGCAACACTGAAATACCCATCACGGTCTTGACCTTGCTTTAAAACTGACAACGTTCTATTCACATTGGTGAATTTAGGGCTTAAAAGTTGGTACAAGCTTTCCATGAACTCTCGGCGGAAACGTTCACATTTTGGCGCTAGAGAGCAGCAGCGAAGTAAGGCTAAAACACTCTGTTCGTGTTTTGTTGACAGGATACCTTCTACTCTGGCAAATCTGCTCAGTATAACTGACTTTCTATAGAAAGTTCCCGCTGAACAGGGGTGAAGTTTACACGCTTTTTCAATATCACGTAAAGCTAACTCTAGTTGATTTGACCGTAGAAAAGCATCCGATCGCCAGATAAGGCAGTGAAGGTCTTCAGAAGACAAAGAAAGAGCTCTGTTAAAACAATCAATAGCTGCTGGCATGTCCTGTCCAACAAGGAAGTTAAGTCCTTCTTGTTTAATTCCTTGCCGTTTACATTCTAGAGGGAGCCATTTTTGAATAGCGTTCGTGATGAGCAAATTAATCGAGTGAACTGAATCTTCTTGAATACCGTTACCACATTTTGAACACTCGGCAAGCCCAGTTAAAGACTTTTCTTCCATAACACACACTTGGCAGAATGTATGTCCACAAGGGAGGGTGACTGGTTTCATAAAGACACAACCACATGAAGAACAAGTGAATGCACTGCACGTTTGATCATCACCAGTCGTTGGTCCATCTTTCTTCTCTCTAACCAACTTGCTGCGTTGAAAATCTAAAAGGGCCTCAACTAACGATGTGATACGTTCTTTCGGAACAAAGCCGACACGAAAAGCATTCGAATATGCTTTAAATGACTGATCTAGCCGGCCAGCCCGTGCAAACAAATCCCCTTGTTCCAACAGAGACTTAAGAATTTCCCAGTTCTGTCCAAAACCCCACTCCGGCGCTAACAAATTTTCCATTCTTGTTTTCCATCTAAAAATTTCCACAGAAACAGAAATAAACTATTAGCTGTAAAGGACCGAGAGTGACCGCACCGCGTAATGTCATCTGTTGAATGAGCGACATTCAGATGTGTTGCGTGAATCTACTTCAAGACTCACGCTCAAGATTCGCGACACGAGTGTTCCCACGTGTCACAAATGTACAACGCGTGAGCGTCTATTTCCGGTTAACGTGATAACGTTTGCCATAAAGTTAAAACGTCAAGTTCTCTCACTGAAAATCAGAAAAGACGACAAATGCGAAATCACTTTCAAAATATAATTCATAGTTAGCAAGACAAAATTTACCTACAAAATTTAATTTTTACTGGAGCTTTCTTTTTGTTATATAACTTTTTCTGTTTGGTTTAATGTTATGTAATCAAATCACATGGTAGCGCACATGTGCCCCTGATATTCGTTATACAACGATCCAGGGAACGATCCAGGATAAAAATTTTAATGGCTCCGTTCTAAGCGATTGTCTGGCATTTAAACGGTTGTGATTTTCCAAGGCGAGCATTTGTCAACGCCTGGGTGTGAGCCATATGTTATTTCATATTTTCTACTGGCCCCGGTTGTTAAAAAGTTGAATAGCGCTATCCACCGGATAAATCACAGGTGGCCCAAGTGTAATATGAGAGTTTGTATGGCAAAAAAGAGTTTGAAACTTAGATGAATTAAATGAAGTAAAAGCGATAAAAGTTATTAATAAAGTGTAAATATTGTTACCTGGAGTCGTTGTCTTTGTTTTTACGAGCGATTTGAGTACTTTTACATCCAACTGAAACTTCGTAAAAACAAAGACAACGACTCCAGGTAACAATATTTGCCCTTTATTGATAAGTTTTATCGCTTTTACTTCATTTAATTCATCTAAGTTTCAAACTTTTTTTTCCCATACAAACTCTCGTATTACGCGCTTGGGCCACCTGTGGATAAATCGCTATCCAATGGATAAGCATTTTAAAATGCGTTATCAACAGGCTGATTTAGCAACAGGATGGGAACGTCAGTTGACGACGGGAAAGCGCGCGGAAAGGACTAAACACGACTTCCGGTGCCCAAATTGCGCGCGCCGTTGTCAACTGACGTTTTTCGTTCTGTTGCTGGAGTATCGCTTCTCTCTTTTTCGGAGGGAGCGAAGCGACGACCGGAAATATGGCTGCCGTTCGCAGACTAATTAAGGAAGGTCCCAGTGGATAGCGCTATCCACCTTTTGAACAACTGGAGCCTGCTCTATACATGTATATTATGGCACTATTTATAGCATGCAAATAAAAGATATTCACAAAAGAAAGACAATTGAGTTAAGCCCATTCACAGACCTTCTATTTTCTCTTTTGAAATCTTCGTAACAAAATAGACGGCAAAAGCGAAGATCACCATCTCTCTTTTTTTAGTTTCTGGCTTTCTTTGAGTCGCGCGGTTTATTAAAGCCGTACTTCAAGAGCCCCAGATACGAGGTTAGAAAGAACGGGCGGAACTCGAGTATAAAATAAGGAAAAGACTCATCTGGAAGAGTCTAGTAAAACCCAGGACTGCCAACCTCCCACGTCTTCAAATACACTCGTTGACTGCGATTAAATTGTCACGGATATGCGATGACACTACGGCTAGCCTGTGTACAGAAGCCCCCTTCTCCGATTTTTTCTCAGGGGAGGAGACGGCTGCAGACAGGCCAAGGTTCGCTTAATACAGTATATACACATACGAAAATTCCAGGATCCATAACTCGAACATTTTATGGCTGATAGAGTGCTTTGTGGCACGTAATACGAATATATACTTCCCAGCAAAAAATGTAGTAGTAGCATCTTTCCTTGGAGTGAAGTCAATGGGCGCGACCCATTCAACCAAAATTTCCGGAAATTTCCGTCCAAAACTCGATGGATCGGTTCTGTCCAAGCGGAAAAGTTTCGAAAAAACTGGTTCACCTTTTGAGGTGGACTACTTTTCCCGGTCGGACCGGTCGGACTTTTGGATGAATGGATCGCGCCCAATGTGCGTGTAAAAGTAAAACGATAGGCACGACATACACCCAGGCCCTGCATACGCCCTTACCAGGAGCCCGACAGGCGCGCGTGCAACCTCCATCAAGGCTACGACTACAACAACCTCGTCCCCAGGGCTTTTCCCTTAAATACTGGGTGGGGCGTCCCACCCATTTTTCAAGGGAAAAGCCCTGTGGACGAGGTTGCCACTACACGAATGGGTATGTTTTTGAAACCGCATACCGTAAAATTCCGAAAATTAGCCCCGGGGCTTATATTTTTCAAAGGCCATTTTTGAGGGGCTTTTTTTTTGGAGGGGCTTATGCACGGAGGGAAATTTGCGTTTAAAAATCGATTGGATTAGCCTTCTTCTTGGAAGGAAATTTACCGTTTTACTTTGTATTTGACGGAAATTTCCAAGTATAAGCCCCCCTGGGGGCTTATATTTGGAGGGGCGAATTAACGGAGGGTTTCTTGCGTTACGAGTTTGGGGAGCTTATATTTGGAGGGGCTTATTTTCGGAATTTTACGGTATTTTTTTACACGACTCGACAATCCGACCACACGAAACCAGTAAATCCAGACACCGAAGCCGCATTGTTTTGAAACCACTCTCCAGAGCGGTTTTAGGCCCCGCCCACACGAATCCGGATAAAAAATGTGCGGGTTTTAAAATGTCGGGATTTGTGTGGACATGACCTTAGTCCATTCAGCAGTAGTCCAACGTGAGAAATCTAGAACAATGGGAAAAAAATTTCTAAAATTTTCAGTATTGCAAATCTCGGTGAACGGTGGTGTTCTTGTCTTCTTTTACAAAACAGCGACGAACCATAACGGGGAGTAGGAAATTTCGGTAGGTAGCAGACCACACCACGATCTCTAGTGCTGTAAATAATGAACAACAAAACTCGTTTCCAAGGCATCTCTCTTTCCAGTGAACCGGGTTATACAATGTCTTTCTCCTCACGTATTTTTCCTCTCTTTCCACCTGAAAAAATCATGATCTTCAGGCTAATAATTCTAATTAACTCAAACTAAGTACATAAGTTAAGATTTTATTGCCTTCATAATGGGATTCTTTACATATACAAAGCAAATGTCACAGTTCTTAGAACTAAAGTAAAGTAGCCTGAAAATAAAAAAAGATCGCGGATCCATACAAAGACAAAATAAGTTGTGAGGTATGTTTAGGGGACGGGAAGCACGGTAAATGAATCACTGCTCCATCTTAGCTTCCTCTTCTCTCTCAGCTTCTGCGGGGTTTTCTTCTGTTCGAGGTGTCTTTTCTTTCGCTTCTTCCTCTGGGGGCTTAGGTGAATTACTGTTAGCTGGAAAACAAAATCAAATTGATTCAGGTACAGTTTTCTATGGTCGTACATGCTCAACCTACATGCAATTTGCCTTTGCTTGGAAATCGGAAGAGCCGCCGAAGATTGCACGGCCAGCGAGCAGCGAAAGATTGGCGCGTCGGCGCATTGAGCCAGCCTTGATGGACTTTTGGAAAGTCTAAGGGAGCTTACCAAGAGTCAGAATTAGCCGGTCATATTGAGAATGATTCTGAATGAAATAAGCTCTTTTCTAGAGTTTTCGCTAAAAACCCAATTCTGCTGTGCACAGTTAAGAAATAGACCAATCTAGATGGATAGCCGATCTGATGACTTCTTCTAAGAAAATACAAAAGCAAACACAAAAGCAAAAATTCACCTGAGCTTGCAGTAGCCGGCTTCTCTGTGTTCGAGGAAGTATCACTAAATAAAAAAGAACGTAAAAGCGGGCAGTTATTTATTTTACCCGGCTTTACCCTGGTTGAGTTTAATACAGATTTCCGGAACAACTTGTCCGCGTTGCGCAGAAAATGGGTTCACATAGATTCAATTTCATTTCTCCCTTTTTTGACAAAGTAAACTCGGCTTAGCACTATTTTAAACTAGATCTGCTATCCGAAGAAATGTTTGAAAAAGGAAAACTACCATTTTAAAAACGAACAGGAATAACTACTACGATAAAGAAGGGGACACTTTGTCAAACTTCCTTTAGTTGTTTATGCTGGTAACAAATTCTTTTCGCATACATGTACATCTATTTTTAACCACCTTGCCAAAATTTAATTAATTTTCTGTTTGGACTAGTTTATTGCCTTAAGACGCAGTAATGAAATAAGACTAAAAATGAAGAGTAATCTATTGTAATTCCAATACTCACTCGTTGGTGTTAGCAGGGGTCTCAGATTCTTGAACATCCATTGGTTCTTCTTTTTCTCCTTTACTTGGTACTGATTCTTCGGCAGCTTCGGGGCTAAATACAGAGAACAAGCAAATAAAGTGCTTCTTTGATTTCCGAAAGTTCCCAGAATTAAAAATTCAAGAAAGATATGACAATTCCTTTAGTAAAATTCTGGAAAAGGACGGACGAACGATAACAGCGCGACCAACACCTAACTGACCAATCAGGTAAGATAACCTTGATAGACCTTTTCACGGTTTTTTCAACTTTTTATATGGACCAGTTTGGGAAAATCCGTCGACACCATTGAAAAGAGCGCCTTAAAATTACTAAAATTGCCAAATTTGAAAGTGATACTTTGAAGATATAGCTCCGCAAAGTTGCGAAAATTCATAGACGTGTGTATCGCGGGAACAAGTTTGTGCCCTCCACTATACAAACGTCTGTAAAATTTCGCGACTTTGAGGAGCTGTATCATCATAAGTTTTCAACAAATCACTTTCAAACTTGGCAATTTTTCTTATCTTACGGCGCTCTTTTCAGTGGTGTCAACGGATTTTCCCGAACTTGTACATGTCAAAAGTAAAAAAACCGCGAAAAGGTCGAAAAGGTCTATTGGGCGATGTGACGAGGATGATGCTATCTACCCTGAAGTCACTACTTCGTGGCTTTACCCAAACACAAAATGCTCCGGTAGAGGTACAAGTATAAGGAAGCTATCAAACAAATTTTATCAGGAAGCACTAACCATAATAATTTACTTGGTGACTTTTGCAGGCATAGCATTAAAACGTGACAAGCTGGGCCCGTCTCAGATCCTTGCCATCAGTTGCAACAGACGACAGGAAACAGTTTCAATGCCTTTACATAGTCTTAAATAACAAAACTGGACCATTATTTTTGGAATTTAATCGATGCGAAAAGAGTTCCAAGCTTTTTGAATACCTGTGGATAGCAAAAAGCGTGACGTAGTCCCAAAAAGTCACTTTGACTCTGAAAATGACCACCGCAAGGCGGGTATGTTACCTTTTTCTGCTAGCCTCCTGTTCAGGTGTAGGTTCTGTCGTCATCTCTGTAGTAGCGTTAGCTACAGTCTGTGGTGAACCCTCGTTTGGGGTCCCCTCAGTTGAGCTCTTGGCTTTCTCTTTCTCCTCCACAGGGGAGGTGCTGGGGTTAGATTCCTTCACCATTTTTGGTGGTTTTGTTTCCTCAGTATTTTCCACACCGTTTGTCACCATTTTCTCGACTGGTGTTGCTGTTGTTTTCCGTTTTTTTCGCCTGCTTTCTTTGGGCACGTGGTTATCCCTTCTGTTGTCTCCTTCATCTTCTGAGTCAGAGTATTCCTCAGGGTTTGAGATGTGTTTGTCTGAATCACGAACTGCAAAGGAAAAATATGGACTTTATTTGAGTGTCAAGGTATTTTAATAGCACGAAAGTACTAACTGGGGACACTATTTTTACGTCCCCAACTAGAGACGGGCCCACCATTTTACGTGGTCATCCGAGCCACGTGAAGGTCTAGTCGCTTGATGAGCAAAGGGAGTTTCTTCATTTCTCTGTTATTTTAAGACCCTGAGTATTGGTCTCGCCCTGGGAATCGAACCTGTAACCTTCTGCTCTGCATTCAAGCGGTCTACTGACTGAGCTAATCCTGCCGCAAAGAGGAAGGTTTAGGACCAAGGAACAAGAATACGTAGGGGCAGGTTAAGGACAACACAACAAGAAACCGGGAGAATTGAGAAAAACAAGTATCTTAGGCTAGTAGCCACCATTTATTTTGAAAGGCAAAGGAGATTGCAAGGGAATGGACGGATACCAAAATCTCTCTAATAAGTTCCCAGAGGTGTTTCTTTCCCAGCTACTCGTTACAAGAGGGAACACGAGGGGGCACTTATTTATGAGACGGATCATTGAAACTTCTTTGAAATGGGGCCTACATTTTCTTTTTGTTGCTGTTGTTCTCCCCATCCAAGAACCCTAAACAGTCTATATGCACGTAAAATTGCCTGTGAGCAAGTTCAATTGTGTGAGTTCAGGAAAATTTTTGGCAACAGAACTTACACAAGTGAGCCAGCTTGCAAGCTACATGTGAAACAAAGGCAGCACCTTCTCCTTAGTAACTTTAAGACCCTGAGTGTTGGCCTGTCTGAGAATTGAACCTGAGCCCACTGCCCCATAGTCTTTCATCCAACCAATTTAGCTAACCATCTGTTGATTATTGTCATTAATATTGTCATTATGTGTTGTACTCACTGCCAATCCTTTTGTCAGGTTCCATGTATTCATCTTCATTATCACTTTCTTCCAATGCAGGTGCATCATCAGGAATAGCTAACAAAATGGACACAGTGTCACAGGGTATCATCAAACATTTAAGAAGGCTAAAAACGGCCTAAATATAGGAATTAATAACTATCAAGAATGTACACTGTCTAGGTTATTTCAAATTGACTGAAATGACATGCTCTCCAGGGGTGTAATATTTATTGATGGCTAACGGATGAAGCTAAAGATGTTAGAGTAGTTTTGGAGTTCACCATTCAAAACTGGTTATGACATTCGAGGTACTTCTCATCAGTATTTGTCTTTTTTATAGCTCACTATTGAAATAAGGTGTAAATACATTTGAAGGGTAGAGCAGTCTAAAATACTCAGTATTGAGCAAACAACCTAACTGGTAAATAAGTAAATAAAAGTGTGTTTAGTGTACACATGGTATTGTTTACTTACGGTGCATCTGAACTCCTGGTGCATGTGGCAACATACGGAGATTCTCGAATAATCTTTGTCTAAGATAATAGTAATAAAACCGATTAAAATACAATGTCAATATCTCAATAACTAAACAACACAAGATAGTCTGAAACATCATGTCTCTTTGCCCTACCCCCAAACGTGCCACCCAATGGGGAGAGGGGCAAAGAAATGGATGACATTTCAGACTACAAAACAAAAAAGTCTTGGGAGTGAAAAACTCACAGGATTCATCTTTCACATTCAATTGCTAATCTTAAAATTTACCACCTTTCTTTATTGTTGTATTCAAAGTCTTTTTCATTAGGGAGACATAAATATTACTTACTATTATATTAATACGAAGAGTCAATTTAGGAATAAAAGTATTGTTAGCTCTTACTTGATTTTTTCCAGATAGTCATTTGTGTTTTGGTTGGCCATGTTAGATGGACTAATGTGCAGCTTGAAGTCTGGGCCAAAATACTCAAAATAGTCATTGTATGGAAGTTCTAAAGAAAAGATGAGAGAAAATAAGCAAATCAAGAACATTACAGCAGTAAACCTCTGATAATTACAGTACCTGCATCATAGGATTTTGTCCATAGAATAAGAGGTTAGAACCAATGTATACATTAAATTTCTGTGTTCACGATGACAACAAAGGAAAGGATTAACTTTTTTTATCTCATTGCAATGGTCAGTGTAACAAACAAACAAACAAAAAAGAATTTGCAAGTGCATTTAGAAATGTCTAGAAGCAGATTTAAATAACAATCTGTCATAAATTCAAACTGACAATCTGTTTTTTGTTCATATTCCTCTTGCCAAGTGCCTTATCGCTTATTCACCCAGTCTTGTTATAAGGTAAACTTTTGGACTTCATAAGCAGTGTAAAATCCCTATAAATAAACAACATCCATTTTATTTGTGTTACCATACCATTTGCAATATCTGAGTCCAGCGCAACTGCTGTTTCAAATGTCCAGCATCTGGCAACATTTCTGATTGTGTACCCACCACCTCCAAGAACCAGCAGTGGAAGATTGAACTTCTTGACAAAGTTAACGCACTGCGCATGACCTAGGATGAATAAATAATTTAGATTTAACATGGTCATAAGGTGCACCAGTTGAATAAAAGATTAAGTTGAGTTGCCCCTTAACACTGTTCATACCATGCACTCAGTCCACATCAATATCATTGTAGTTTGTTACTACATTTTCATGGGGAAATCATGAACACCACCTCAAAACAAGTGAACTTTTTCTTAAAGAACAATGGTAAACCTCTTTGAGCCACAGTACGATAAACTCCAAATAAACTTCATTTAATAACCAACCTTGCTTCAAGCTGAGCTAACTTCATCGTTTAGTATAACTACACAGTAATTTGCCATGTTGTAAGTAAAACAGTCTCATGTTTGCTCAAAAAATAATTAATTTCACAACTTACATGAATAACTATTATCTTCCGCACCCTAAAATCCCATTCTTTCTTTTCATCTTAACTGATATTTATTTGTAGTTTTAATGTTACAAATGATGTTTGCTTGCTCTTCAATATTGACTTCCTGGCAGGGAAGGCCTAAGCTCCCCCAAAAACTAATAACAATTAGGGGTGGGAAGTGGGGGAGGGGGGCAACAGTGGCAGAGAGGAGAACAATATTTTAAAGGGAACTGTCTGGTGATAAGACTTTGACATAGTTTTGGTGAAGCATTATTGTTAATTGAATTTCCTGTCAAACTAAGAAAACTGTGGACACCTGAAATATCTCAGGAAGTTTTATTGTGTAGTGACCCATTACAGCAAAGATCAGGACATGCAAGCAAGCTGCAAAATCACAAACTAATTTTCGTTGTTGCCTGCACTTTAGTGTTCTAACCCCTGATTAGGTTTTTTCTTGCAACACAATTTATTATCATTCCAGAAATGTTTCTGGAGTTCACAGTTTCCTGAGTTTCACATTGATTACAATAAAATAATAAACTGTTTCTATAAGAGTATGAATATGTAGTTTGTACCTTTAAGAGACAGGTTGAAACATCCTAGTCTGTCTCCTGCAAGAGAGTCAGCTCCACACTGGAGAACAACAGCATTTGGTTTGTATACTTCCATTACCTTGGAAATAACCTGAGAGAAAAAATGATAATATTTGTGGTTCAATGAAAAGCACAAAATCTCAGAAGCATCAAGTGCAGATATTATTAATAAAAATATAACATTGGCCTTAGCTAACAAAATTTGTCACTGAACTGAAGGCTCAAAGTGGTTGATAGTAGAAATTATTGATACATTTCATAATAACAAGGTAATATACATCAGCACAAGCTAGTTATACACAAGTACATGTATCTACCATCTTCACAGACAGTACATTATTGAAAGAATAACCACAGCCATAGCAGTGCTGATCTGAAACAGCATGGCAAGGGAGCAGTTAAAAGGCAAACACAAATTCCTCAAATGGAGGAACCGAGGTAAATGCACAGAGACCAGTATCCACTAACAATCCGCTAACTAGTTACGAAGTATACCAAACCCTTTGATAGACAACACCAACTGAAGGAAGGTGAATTAAAACTTGAAGGTATTCAACTTTACACATAGCTAATCACTGCATCATTGCAAAAAAAACCCATTTAAATAATATTATTAACATCTAGGGGAAAATTATCTTTCTATGTTACAAAAACATTTTAACTGATTCTTACAGGATTAAAGATTTGCTCATAAGAGTCATCGTCAATGCCATCTCTCAGGGGAAAGTTCACAGCATAATATTTGCCTTTTCCAGCACCAATATCCTGTGAATAATGAAGTAGAATGTTATAATAATCCTGTAATTTCTCACAGATATCATATATATTTTCAAAAGTAACAAAGGAGAATTGGTGATCTTAGTAGAATTTACAACAGCCTTTGTTTGCGCGTGTTAACATAACATGTGGCTATAAATTAGTTCATGTAATCACCTACACCAAAGGCATTCTTTTACAAATTATTGGTAAATTGATTGACGTGTAGTGCATAAAGTCCTTATTCTGCTAAGAGAAGACTAGTAGAATATTGAAAACCTAAAAAAGAACTGCAAAATTTAGAATTGAAGTCCCTAGCTTCAGACACACTCACCCTAAGATCACCTGTACCAGGGAAATATTCCCCATATTTATGAAATGAAACTGTCATGACACGGTCAGTGGTGTAAAATGCCTCCTCAACTCCATCACCATGGTGAATGTCAATATCAATGTACAAAACTCGTTGATGGTACCTAACAAAATAAATAAAAAGCTATATCATGAAATATATGATTGGAATACACAAATAATATTACAACTAAGTATTAACATGCAATACAGCAAGTACCTTATCTTGGAACTCTGATCTGACAGCAAAGTTAATTAAACCACTAATCTTATGACCTTGTATTTTTTTACAAAAAACAAACCTACACATCCTAAGTTACATATACAGCTGTACAGTCAGCTGTCTCTAAGACAAAAACCGTTGTCATCAGTATTAAGTGGCAATCTAAGGTACATGTCCAACTAATAGAAAGCAAAATAAATGACTAAAGAATCATTGGCAGGGACAATCTCTAGGAGTCCACTTCAGGGAAATGTCTGTCTAATAGCATTTTTCATTATGAGAGAGTTGACCATGTAGAAATGTTAGACTAAATATTTGTACACTTTTTATGATCAGTTAAACCTTTCCACCTCCATCTTTATTTCTGTCATTTTGGTTTACCTCCATGCAAAATTAATGATAGACACCGAATCTGGAGAAAAAAACTTATCATTTCCATCTTTTGTTTGTGTTGTCTGGGGATGAAAGTACTTTGTGGTCTGCTCAAACTTTCTGCTTCTGTTTCTGTCACTATGGCTTACTTTAGAGACTCAAAAATGGAAAACAGAAATGCAATAGGGAGAGAGAAAATTTTCCATCCCCATTAAGGGGGTAAAAGTAAATTCAGAGAAAAAACAGGAAAGTAAATACAAAGCTACTTACTTGAGGAGCTCTAAAATAGCCAGAACAATGTCATTAACATAACAAAATCCTGATGCTTCTGATTTTTTAGCATGATGCAAGCCACCAGCCCAGTTGATGGCAATGTCTGTTTGTTGTTTATTGAGTTTCACTGCTCCAGCTACAAAAAGAGGGCAAAAATTATTGACACCTCAAGAAAGACTCCAGCAGAATTATTTAGCTATTGATCAGAATCATAATCTGCTGCTTACCTATAGAGCCACCCGTTGAGAGCTGGCAAAACTCAAACAAGCCATCAAAAACTGGACAGTCCTCTCCAACATTAACTAAAACAACAACACAAGATATTAAAAAAGCTGGAAAAATAATAATTCCCACTTTCTATCAATTTCATCTTCATTTTCATTAGTTGTTAAATGAAGCTATACAATAGTAATAAAAACTATTGGAATTTAATAAATATTTCCTTCCCTTAATCTCTTAAATTCTGGACCAACTTGATTAGCTACAAGCAGGCCAGTTGACCGTAAAACTATTTTTTTTTCTGAATAAATCTGAAGCTGAAAATGGAAACGACAAAATAAAATACCTTCACTTTGTCGTTGACATAATACTTAGAGTGAAAGAGATGATGAGTACACTGCAAATAATCTCACCTCTTAGAAAAAGTAAAGAAGTTATGATGTCATAAAAACAATTTGTGAAATGATAGGATCTGTTAGAAAGAGCACCAAAAAAATAACTCCCAGCCAAAAACCAGTATTTCGTTCAGTTTTGGGTGGGTTATTAGCATCATTCCATACAAAAATGCCTCTAAATATATAAACCTGGATTATAACACACTGGATCATAACACTTTGATCCAAGTCAAATGTACAAGTATTTGTACTGGGTCATGCATCAGATCACAGTAGTACCAATATCGCACTATCAATCACTGATACCCTAACTTTCAGCTAGGAAGCTTTTTTCTGTCTTTCTCTCTCAGGTAGTCTCAACAAATGCCATAATTTCACAAATTCTAATATTTGTGATGTTATAATTTTACTTTATTCCAATACATAAAGTTTATGTTGTGCTTCAGTTTTATCTATGGTTAAAATTTTTTCCATTTGATTTTGTATCATACACTGCCATACCTAAAATAAAGAGAAAATAAAATTTGAACCACAGATAAACTGAACCACAAGATAAATTGTGTGGGTAAAATCTGTTCTATTTATACATAAAACCAGCATTTAACCTAGTTTGATTCAGAATTTCCTCTTACGTATTTTGCAGTTAATGGGTAACCAAAGATCAAAGACCACACAAGATCAATATATGCCATTCATTACAAGGCAACGGCGTTTAAAATTGGAAGACTATCTCGTTATTACAGTCTCCACCTTTTCCCCAGATTTAGCTTCCATAGATAAATTTACGATGGCATATCATGTACAGCTGAACACAGTTTTCGTGAAATCGTCCCTGAAAAAAACCTGGACGAACAATTTCCGTTCTGCTTATCGAAAAGTGAGTGGAAGAATGAATGGGAAACCGCATGCTGGTCATATTTTAATTTCTTCCGTACTCACATCTTTGCATTTGTTTGGTGTACTCAGACATATTATCAGGCCTTATGGTCTTCAGAAACTTGATGTAATCATCTGAATGGTATTTAGTCATCTCGTCCAAATTTGCTTTGTGAGGGCGCTAAATTTTAAGAGAAGAAGAAAAAAATAGCGTGAAGATGTTCATTTCAATGCATGCAAATTAGCTGGGAAGAAATAATTTTGACAGCCTAATCAACTTATAATTATTTCTACTCAGAAAATAAAGAGAAATAGCATATATACTTACGTAGATTTCCATCTTCCTGTACAAGCCATAGTTCAAAAGTAAGTTGTGCGTCATTCGAATACGATGCGGCTTCATCGGATGGCCTTGACCGTAATAGTAGTTCCCGATGTCACCTTTGTTTGGAACACGAAAAAGATGGTAAAACCATGAAGACAAAATTAGCCAACTTAAACGCCAAGAAAAGTCTTGGAACTTCGTAAAACTCGACTTAAGTTATTTATCAGCTAGTTTATGTGGTGTTAAGAGTAAATGTGACGTTTACCATCGTAATAGTAGCAAACTCGCTTCTTTCCGCCGGGTGCTGTGTACGCCATGCCGGTTATTCTTCTTTTATCGGCTGCGGACCCCTCGGCACGACTTTGAAACAGGGAAGAAAGTCACGTGATCAAACTCAGCCAATCAGAAACTTTATTTATCTTAAAAATTATTATTGTTTACTACTACTTTAATATTAAGCCATTAATGGCTTAAAATAATTATTATATGAAGTCCTTGCATTTGATAGCACGTTCTGAAACGTAATCTTTCCTGTCTAACACAGAATCAATGCGTTTCAATTTTGGAGACGCTCCTCGTAAAATCAGACATAAGAAATCATTAACCAGTGTCTATTTAGCGTCTATCCATTTTATTACACTTTAAATTTGAATATAATATCAGCCCTTAGATAAGACCGAATTAATAACAATATTCTCTCAAGCATTCTGTCCCACGTGGTCACACTTCGCATTGCCCGCCAGACTTTTATTTAGCAAGCGAAAAAAAAAATAGATCTCAATAATTAAACGATCGAGAGACTATCAACTCTTCGGTACTCTTGTTTCAACGTGTCTGGCTCTCACGTGATCAACATTGACCAATCGAAAGCTGATATTCTCTTAAAAGCCTGTTGGCTAATGCATTAATAATTTGAAAATAATAATCGTTGCATGATCTATAAAAGCACGTTCCAAACGTGCCATCTTTCCTGTCTGGAATGAAACTAATTTGCTGGATGGACGCTTTTAGTAAACAAAACACACAACTTAGTATATATTTTTTATTGCAAAAATTCGGAAAAACAATCAAATCTGCGTAACAAAATAAGCATGCAACCAAGATTTGGCGTATGCGTTCAGTGCTTTTATATGAAGGCTTCAACAGGGTAGAAAAATCTTTTTAAGGAACCTTTCTATTAGCTCTGATTTTGTTTATTTGGCTGCATGTCTCTTTCAAGGCGGAAGCGGAAATCAATCTCTTGAAACTAACGAGTGACGTCGACAGAAACGTGTCAAGCTGAACGATGACGCGTATATATCTGCCCTGGAATCATTTATTTATATTTATTATTTATTATTGTTTTGATGAAACGACTAAACGACGGCTAGGTTACATGTGGAAATATCAATGCATGCATATGTACACGTAGACTTACCGAGAAGTTGAGCTCAAATTTGAGAAGGATAATGTCCATGTAACAGTGAAAGATGAACCACAGGTCAGGTGGGCTAAAACCTATAGAGCCTTGTTTGGAAAGTCTAAGATGGACCCTGAGGATTGTTTATATTAC